TATCTGCAGACTGTAAACTGTGGCATAAACCAATTGACAACCAATGCAACTCTACAAAGCTGATGTTACATGCTTCCAATGTCAGGAGCCAGGCAATACATGGTCTTCTGCATTTGGGGCCAATTGTAGTTGCCTGATAGCCCTAAGTAGAACTCATTAATGTAGTTCAGGGGTCTTCAAACTTGGCAACTTTAAGACTTGTGAACTTCAATTCCCAGAATTCCCCAGCCAGCCCTGACTGAGAGTTGAAGTCCACAAGTCTTAAAGGTGCCAAGTTTGAAGACCCCTAGTGTAGTTGAACTAATTAAAAGTAATATTTTCACCATCTAGATGGCTTCCTTTTAGGAGTCTCATCCACAATCCCCCTCTGTCTTGTTTTCTCAAGGCTAAATATACACAGATTATTTAATCTTTTTTTTTCTAGAGCTTAATTAATACATGGTCATCCTTATTGCTCTTGACTGAATTTATTGCAATTTGGCTGAGGTTTTCTTAAAGGACCTGTCGCCACAATAACTTTGACTTAAGTAGTTGTATGGGGAACTAATATGTATGGGAACACCAAAAAGGAGTCACTTAATTCAATCAGCTCTAAACAGATCCAGTCATGCATATGATTAAACAATACAATCTAGATGTGTTGCAGAAGTAACTAAACTCAGTAAAATTATCCATTTTACATAACTAGTCCTCTAAGAAAAATCAAATCATGTATTGACAATAATAGTCAAGCTTCACTATTGCATATAATAAATGTATTTATATATACATTGAATTATTGACTTTATTAATTTGTATTCAGTTATTTCCAATCCATTTCTTTGATTTAATGAGATTGTTCTTGATTTGATTTCTGTCTATATTATGTTTGTAGAATCCCCACAATCTACTAGGAAATTTTCTCCTTTAAAGAGAGGATAAAAATGAGGAGGATTATCTGTCAAGACTTCTGTTGACAAATTCTTGCTGACTTGATATTATTTTTTTAAAGATGATTACAGTTTGATCACTTCTTCTGATAATTATAGATAGTTTTAAAAGAATGGAAACAAAACATACATCCAGTCTATTTTTAAATAGAAGTTAAATGCAACTTAAATGCAAGTTAAAATGAGCCATTATTCCTTGAGATTTCTGGTTTGGAAATTAAAGATTAGATTCATCCATGCTGAATTCAAAGCTATATATATATATATATATATATATATATATATATATATATATATATATATATATATATGGTCAAAATAAGGTAGAAATGGGATAATATTTGCTCTATATATCCATATAGATTGTTCATACATAAAACAACTTTGAAACTTTACAAGGGATACAGGTACTAAACAAAATATTACTTTAGTCTGCATGCACAAAACAAAAAGAAAATAAAGGGTAAGAGACACATTGAGTTTGTGACTGTGAAAATGGCCTGTTTTCTCTCCAAGCCTAATGATTATGACTCAATATTGTGCAACTTTACTGAGGATCAAATGCCAATGACTCTGCAATTAACTTGACTGAGAAGTTGATTATGCTGAAAGCTCCTATGATGATAATGACTTTGCATTCCTAATTGTGCCTTTTGTGCCAGAGCACTTCATACATTGACAGGCAAAAGCATTTAAGAGAAATAATTTCAGGTGTACAGAAGCTGGAAGCACTTCTTCTAATGAAAAAAAAATCAACTCCTCAATTTAACATCATCTCTCTCAAGCGTGTGACAGGTTCTCCAACAAGTTATAAGCGATTGCTGAATTTGTTTCATGAATTTCCAGGATAATGTGGGCATGGCACAGGATTACCTTGTGACCTTTTATTATGACACTTTCATATTTTTCTAGTAATCTAAGATCTTCCACCTGTTGTGAAATGTGTATTATGGCTTCACTTTTTTATCTGGCTTTCCAGCCCCAATTATTGAAGCCAGCATGAATGAACACCACCATGCTAGAGAAGATAGGGGAGATAATGTGGAAGTTAGAGAGGTAATTTGGAAACCTTTTGGTGTGTTTGCTGGATTCTTTTATTAAGAAAAAAAAAGAGTATAACATACTTTGAATAAGTTGGCAAAAATGAAATGAAAAGCAGACTGATAACATAAAGCAGGCTGGTGCTTTTCCTAGAAGTATGAATAGGATCACTTGATGAGTATAATAAAGAATAAATGTTTATGTTAGTTTTAGCATCAGAAATTTGAAGGCACCAGAAGGGTCTCCATAGTAAGGTCACCTACCCTCATCTGAAATAGCATTCCTGATATGGAAGTTGTACACTAATTTATATTACTGTACCTTTGTAATGCATTCCATCCTCTTGAAAGGCTTCCTAGGTCTTTAGCACTTCCCTGCCCAGGAGCCCAGTGATCACTGTAGTTTCTGCATGCCAACAAACTATATTTTGCTGCAATATTATCAGATGCTTTTGTTTCCTGTTTAGGAATAGAATGGAAGAGGAATAGGGTAGAATAGAATATCCCAGGCTATCTCTTCTTAAAATATTTCTGATAATATTTATAATTACTGAGCACTCTGTACTTTGCACTCAACTTAATCCCTGAGGTTTCACATTTAGCAAATGTGTGATACATCTTATACATTATCTCCCATGCATAAGCTTTCAGTGTACATACAAACATCAAAGTAATTTAATCATAAGATACTAATAGGAGAAGGTAGCAGGAAAGGTGAGAAGGATAATAGTAATCCAGCCCTACCACAGCACATGAGTAAATAACCTTAGACATAAGACAGTCCTATGGGAATTATGTGTTCAGAAGAATGATGGCACGAGGAAATAATCTGTCTCTGTGTCTAATTGTTTTGTCATACAATGGCCTAAAGCACTGTTCTGAGCAGAGGAGTTGAAACAGTTTTATGTCCAAGATGTGAGAGGTCTATAGATACTTTCTCAGCCCTCTTTCTTGCTTGAGCAGTATACAGGTCCTCACTGAAAGGCAGGCTGGTTGCAATTGTTTTTTCTGCAGTCCTAACTATCCATTGAAATCTGTAACTGTCCTGTTTGGTTCCTGTACCAAACCAGACAGTTATAGAAGTTAGTGGGCATTTTTCCCCACAACAAATTATTTGGGAAAGATAACTTTTTATTCTTCTGTCGTTCTGGACATGGCTGGTATCTGTTAATCTCCATTCTCAAGAAACAAGCAAAGACATTTTTATGCTGGAGGTGAAGCATAAGATGATAAGACTAAGAATTGGCTCTTTTTCAGTACCATCTATATGGTGAAATAACCCATCAAAAGTGTGGATATCTTCAGAAACGGAACTAATTAAAGATTATATGATCAGATGGTGCAGAATTTTGGTGAGCCAGTTTCATTGGACACCTGGGAAACCATCTGGGTCAGAAATGTCAAATTTACACAAGCACAGAACTTAAGGGAGAATTTTTATAAAATGTTTTATAGATGGCACCTTGATCCACAAAAAATGTCTCTTATGTATCCTGACTTACAACCTAAATGTTGGAGATGTGGGTGCATGGATGCTACTTATTATCACATTTGGTGGTCGTGCAGAGAGATAAAAGCCTTTTGGATTAAGATATGGTGGAATATCCAGAGAATTTTTAGAAGGAGGGTAAAATTTACTCCGCAATTATTTTTGTTGGGTATAGTTACTGATTGTGATACAAAGGAGGTTATATTGATGTTAAATTTGATTACAGCTGCGAGGCTGTTAGTAGGACAATTTTGGAAGAAAGAATCTTTGCCTACATTGCAGGAATGGTTTCTTAAAGTGTCTCATTTGGCGGAAATGGCAAAGATTTCGGCTTTTTTAAAGGAACAAACGCAAGAGAAATTTCTTGCTGTTTGGGATAAGTGGATAAAATTTATACAATTTAAACTGGATATAAAAAAATATTATATAGCCTTTTTATAATCTTCATTTTTATATATATATATATATGTTTTAATGTTATATTTTCTTTTTTTATAAATATAATTTTTTAATTGTTTTTTAATTAAGCCTATATTCTGTTCTGGGAAGCTCTGGGGGGGGGAAGGGGGGATGTTTGGGTGGGGGGTGGGGAAAGGGGGTTTTGTTATGTAATGTTTAGGGTTTTTTTGTATATGTTGTTTTTTGTCTTTGTATGGTTTTGTTCTTTTTGTAAAACTTGTAAAACTTTTTAATAAAAAAAAAAAGTGTGGATATCTTTAATCACACTTGCGGGATCATTTTCCCTAAATCATTAAAAGTAACAAGCCTGTTTGGGTGCATTGCTGAGTCTAAAGTTTTTGTGGATATTCAGAGATAGGTGAGAGAGAGAGTGTTTAGCATGATGGTGAAAGCTTTTCGGATTCTGCAATTATAAGAAATTAAGTCATTTTGTATCATTTTTACCATACTTGAAATATCTATCTATCTATCTATCTATCTATCTATCTATCTATCTATCTATCTATCTATCTACCTACCTACCTACCTACCTACCTACCTACCTACTTACCAGGGCTTACATATTGCTCCGATCAAAAAGAACTCTTGAATATCTTTTCAGTCATCAGTGCTGGCTGTCATCCAAGTGCAGGAGACATTTGAAGCTCTACACAGTCCTCTTCTGTGTGTGTGCCAGAGAACTAAGCATCTAAGTGCTATGGGAAACAGGCACTTGATAGAATAATACAGTTGCCTGGACTAGAAAAAAAATGTTAAAACTGAAATTATGAGAAAACTTGAACCACTGCAAAATGAGTACAAATCACACGGTGTTGGTCATGGGATCTTTTGAGAACAAATTTTTTGATTGGAACCACATTCTTCTCCCATTTTGTCACTTTAAACTAGCAACCCTTGATAGCAAAGGAAAGATGGAGTCAAAGCCCTCCAAGATTTTATTTTAGAAAGTCTGCTTTCACACTGACCTACAAGTTGCCTCCTCTAGCAATATTGACTGGCTTAAGCATCCCACTGATACCCTTCCAAGCTCTGGACTCAGCTGGCTATTTAGTTCTGGTGTTTTTTTCTTTTTCTTTTTCTCAGGTCGTCATGGAGATGGAGCCTATTGGCCTGTTGACACTAATTTGATTGACAGGAGCAGCCTCAATGGTAAATATGACTAATGCCAAATCCTTCCCTTTTGATTGCCATTGGTTAATTCTGTTTGATCTGTGTGATCCCTATATATATATATATTTTTACCCTTTCTTCTCTCCCATTTCATCTTGGTGTCCTCTAAATGAGGCCAGTTTCATTTTTGGGAAGTCCTCAAGTAAATTGGCATAGAAATTTCTCTTAAATGTAAGAGCATGGGTTGACTTCATGGTTGAAATGGGCTTGGGGATGATTTTAATTGGTTCAGAGCTTAACTGAGTAGGCCCAATGGCTCAGTGGTTAAAGATAACAGAATAACAGAGATGGAAGGGACCTTGGAGATCTTCTAGTCCAGCCCCTGCTCAAGCATAAAATGCTCAAGTCATAAAAGAGCCAAGGTTGCCTACCCCTGCCCTATACCATTCCAGACAAATGGCTATCCAGTCTCTTGTTAAAACCCTCCAGCGATGGAGCACCTACAACTTCTGGAGGCAAGTTGTTCCATTGATTAATTATTCTGTCAGGAAATTTTATTTTAGTTCCAGGTTGCTTCTCTCCTTATTTATTTATTTATGAGACTTATATACCGCTTTAAGTGAATATATATATTATATATTTTACATTGCCCCCAACAATCTGGGTCCTCATTTTACCTACCTCGGAAGGATGGAAGGCTGAGTCAACCTTGAGCCGGTGAGATTTGAACCGCTGACCTGCTGAACACAGTCAGCTAAAGTGGCCTGCAGTACTGCACTCTAACTGCTGCGCCACCTCCTTGATTAGCTTCATTGCTTATTTACTGATATCAGCTGTGTCCCTTTTTGTCTTATTTTCCTTTTATATAGTTATCTACTCTATTCCTTTAAACGTTTCAATAAATAAATTATAGCACAACACAACACACCCAAAAAGCAAGTGTACTGAATTGCCACTGTCTATATAGATGAATCATGTGTTTGTGTGACTGATAAATGGAAGTTGTAGTCCCATCATACAGGGTAGTAAAAATTTGGGTAACCATGTCCTGCTACATTATTTTCCAGCAGAATAGAACATAGATCTACAGATTGGGTTTTTCATTGCCACAACAATGGTAACTTCCTAATCAGGCTGTATATTTATGATTACAGTGGTTTGTAGAATAACTAAACCTCTGAACCTTCACTTCATTTCACTTATGGTCATTCAGAATTACATCCATCTTAGACAAGTCAATATAAACATAGTTCCTTTTGTACATTCACAAGGGCTTCCTTGGCGATTTGCAAAGCTGTTGCTCAGATAACATTTTGTATAGGTAACATAGCTGACAGGAATGTTGATTCATCCAACAACTTGCTGATAGTTGCAAGGTAAAAGAAACAAGTAAAGTTGCTGATTTGGAATACTGTTTGGTATGTTCTTAATTAAGAAGATTTTGGCTTGATAGCCAGGGCATACAAATTATTTGAAGAGCATGCAACATTTCCCTAAAAAATAATTATTTCATAGATGTTTAGTAATAGTTTTGGATACTGCTCACTAGAATGCTGTTTATTACAATATGAAGATATTTCATGGAGACTCTGCCCATTCTTTCACAAGAATGTCCATCAAAAGTTATCTTAATGAAAAACTTTCAAAACAGATTTTTAGATCAACAAGCCTTTGGCTACTCAATAGCCAATTATTGGCCTAATCAAAGCTTCTGTAAACTACAAAGAGCTTTACTTGATCGAGAGTTTCATATAGTTACAGATAATCAGGAAAGCTCAAAAGGATGCAAATGGTAAGACATCTCCCCATATGTTATGGTCAGGTGACCAATATGATCTTCTGAATCCCAAATTAATATAAAGTGTCCTTGCATAGAGTATCCTTAGTTCAATGAGGCTTCCATTTAATACAATTCCTGGAGAATGCTGTGTAAAATAACAACCAGAAATTATAAAATGACAAAATTTCAGATAATTTAACAAAAGTAAAAGGCACTTGATGTAACATTTTTATTTTATATTTTAAGGGTCCTAATGGAAATTTAGTTTTAATTAACCCTGAACCATGAAAGAAAATCTCCTATGTTTTTCAAAAGATTAATATAATGTAATAATTACTAACTTTGTTCAAACAGGCTACCATTTCACCATTCTCTGACTAATGGGAATTTTGAATTTTCAAACTATTGAATACATAGGGGAAAATCAGTAATTGAAGGTTGCATAAAACTACTCATAAAAATACAAAAGTAGAACCAGGCCAATACCTGATTAAATCAGATAGGTTCATTTTTCAACACACGAAATGAGAAATATATATATTGTATATTAGATGTATGAATCAGATAGAGTATCATGAAATCTGGATGCTGGCAGTCAGAATATTATCTGATAGCTGAGAATTTTCTCTATCAAAGGCAGAATAAATGAATGGTTTTGTCTGTTGTTGTAATTAGTGATAGAAACTAAGGCCTCCTAGAGTCGAAGTCTCCTTGTGAGACTTCTTTCCTAACACAGGAAGTTCCTCTTCTTTCCTAACAGTCTCTCCTTGTGAGACTTCTTTCCAAACACAGTCGAAGTCTCCTTGTGAGACAACACAGTCAAAGTCTCCTTGCGAGACAAATAACACAGTCGAAGTCTAAAAAAGAGACTTCTTTCTCCTAATACAGTCGAAGTCTCCTTGCGAAGACTTCTTTCCCAATACATCGAGGTCTTACAAGTGAGCGGAACAGGCTGCTCGGGGCTACTGCTTTAATAAGACTTGCAGAAGGGGGAGATTCTTAGTCAGAATAGGGTTCTCTTTCTCTGCCCGCTCGGTCCTCCTCTCTGGACCAGAAGGTCTCACGCTTTGATGCCCCCCCTTGCTTTCCCGCAAGAAGCCGGTCAGGCTAACTGAATGGTAGGGCAGGTTTCCTCATTATTCAGTTAGAATTGAGAAGCGAGCTCCATGAGATTCTAAATGTTTTCAAGGGAAAAGCACACACTCATGCAATAGGGGTTTCGTTCCCCCAGACCCTTTAACCTAAGAGATTTAAAGGATACAACACTTACTCTCTTTCCTGGTATATGTTCGAGCGTAAGACTCAATTACTCCCTTTAATACCCGATGATTCCGGGCAGGGTCCGCTTGGCTTCCCCACGGATCAAAGTTGTCTGCTGCCGGAGGGTGATGACTCTTCCGGGCCCGGTCCGATGGCTGGGTGATCTGGAACTCCCATCTGGGTCGCCAGATTGTTGGGAGGAACTCCCCCGTTCGGTTCTTCCAGCCGGGATTCTCCTTGACAGTGCAGTGCAGAAGAAATAGATCGTGGAGCCAGCTACCAGAAAGAGGTTTTATTTCGAGGATCAGCGTTGAGTGACAATTCAGCTCGAGTCCCCGGCTAGCTAGACAGAGTGATCTTTAAACAGGGGTTTTTATACCCTTTTGTGGTTTCCAAACTTGTCATTTCTGATTGGTAACACAACTTACCATTTCTAATTGGTGAGTTAAAATTTGTCTTTCTTGATTTGCTGGTTTGTGACTATTGTTAGTTCCTTTTTCTTGCCTAAAAGGTGTTAATTACTTTTATTGTTGTGTCCTGATTGCTGCTAGCTGGTTCCTCATTGTGTGTGTCAAGTGTTTGCTGTTTTAGCCTCAGGCTGCTGTTGCCCCAGTTTAGTTGGGGTGTTCCTAGATTATTTCTTTGTTGGGCTGGGGAGGGGGTGTCCAACTCTCATCACTAGAGTAGCTTTAACATGAATTGGATGGATTCATAGAGGTCCAGTCTTCTAGAGCTATTCATCCTAAAGATTACATGAAGTCTCTGGGTTGAGAGGTAACAAATCTCCCAATGTCAGCTACAGGAGAACAATGGAAGGATAAGGCCCTCCCACTTGTGAGAAGCTCAGAAAGCCTTGGTTCAAAATATTGGAGTACAGTGGGCCTTCACCTAATTCAGCAGGTTATTTTGTTATTGTTATGTATTAGTTACATCTGAATTTACACATCTACAATGTGTTTAATTGGAGCCTATCTTCAAAGGCACTTTAGAAGCTGCTATTGATCCCACATGCAAGTTTTCATACAAAAATTGGCTGAAGCAGGACTCTATCCCCAAAAGGAGACAATTAAAAGAAGACCTCTTCTGATCCTCTAATCCCTATTAAATTGTCTTTGCAAAAAACAATATAAGAAAGCGCTGAAGCCGTTATTGGAGACTGTACAATTTGGTATGCAGTTTCTTTCAGTGATTTCATTGACATAAACAGGCAGAGATCATCAGACCAGACTTGATGTATATCAATTATTGCTGAAAGGATAGTAATCATAATTTTGAGTCAAGTATGCTACACAATACATTAATTTAACATATTTTGTGCCAGGTTGTGAGCAGAGCATGAAAGCAGGCAATCAAATGAGTCGGCAGATAGGAGGCCCATTATGCCATAAATACCAGTGGGCAGGAAAATAAAAGTCCATCACTCCTTTTATCCCATCTTCAAGGACATAATGGTAATAATGATGTCTGATGAGGTCCACCAACTCCTAACCTAATGGATTTTAGTGCAGTAGGAAATGACTGGTGCCGCACTGAGCATGGCTTTGATATTTTCTAGCTTTCTGTGTTACTTTCATTTAAACCTTGTAAAGTTCCCTCTGTTTTCTAAAGCCTTAGTGAAAGATAAGACACTTCCTTTTTGCAGCCTCAGATTTTTAAGCGATGCAACTTTTTAAAAAGAGTCGGGGAAACAATTTAGGTAGATAAAAAAAGAAAACATACATTTGCATTTGCTTTTCTTCAGCAGATAGAGAGGAGCAGACCGGTTTCTGCCTTTCCATGTCATTTTTCTAGGCTGGATCATGTCATTTGGGTTTCTTGGGAATGGCAGAAACCAGAATGGACTGTATTTTCCAAATGAAGGCTTCTCTTGCAAGTGATTAGCTGTGACTGAGGCTGTCAACTTATCTATTTTGTTTAACACTAGCTGTTCTCGGCCAGGGGGTGCTGTGGCTCAGTCTGGCTAAATGGAAAAGAAAGAAAAGAGAAAGTACATGTTTGT